GGGTACTTCTGATTTGGGTACTTAGCGTGGACTTAGCAAAAGACGACGTCGCAGGCGACCTCCGCTACCTTGCCATCGTATCCTTTCGGATCGGGCTCATCCGAGCCACGGGCGCCATTGACTTTCCGGCCCCATTCTGCCGATCTCTTCCGAAGCATCTAGTTAGGGCTACACAACAATTTCAACCTCTAGATCGACATCGACCTCTAGATCGGCGGCGTTATCGGGAAGAACATCGCCCAAAATCCCTCGAAGGACTTTGGGCCAAATCCGGCATCTCCAACCTAGAGCAGCTTAGGAGGGGGAAAACCAGCAGCACGACGACGGCAGCCATAACGATAGTAATCGCAGCAGCGACGCCGACAGCAGAGGAAGGACCTGGCAAATCTACATTGACAATACCTTCGATGGCAGGCTCGCCCTCCACCTGGAAAACGACATCTTCGAGTTGCGACGGAGCGCGGCTGGCTCGCCAACCGGTAAACTGTGCAGAGGCGTATCGCGCGGCGCCGGCCGTGGCGGAAGCCTGTGCGCAGCCTGTCCACGGGCCTGTGGTAAGCCTATCGGCAGGCTGTGCATAGGCCTATCGCGGGGAGCCGGCCGTCGCGGAGGCCTGTGCACAGCCTGTTCACAGGCCTGTGGTAGGCCTATCGGTAGGCTGTGCACAGGCCTATCGCGGGGAAGCCTATCGGCAGGCTGTGCGTAGGCCTATCGCGGGGCGCAGGCCGTCGCGGAGGCCCGTGCACAGCCTGTCCACAAGCCTGTGGCAGGCCTATCCGTAGGCTGTGCATAAGCCTATCGCGGGGCGCCGGCCGTCGCGGAGGCCTGTGGCAAGCTTATCGGCAGGCTCTGCAGAGGCCTATCGCGGGACGCCGGCCGTCGCGGAAGCCTGTGCACAGCCTGTCCACAGGCCTGTAGTAGGCCTATCGGTAGGCTGTGCATAAGCCTATCGCGGTGCGCCGGCCGTCGCGGAGGCCTGTAGTAGGCCTATCGGTAGGCTGTGCATAGGCCTATCGCGGGGCGCCGGCCGTCGCGGAGGCCTGTGCACAGCCTGTCCACAGCGCTGTGGTTGGCCTATCGGCACGCTGTCTAGAATCGCATCGCGCGGCGCTGGCCGTGGCGGGAGCCTGTGCGCAGCCTATCCACGGGCCTGTGGTAGGCCTATCGGTAGGCTGTGCATAGGCCTATCGCGCGGTGGTAGGCCTATCGGCAGGCTGTGCATAGGCCTATCGCGGGGCGCTGGCCGTTGGAGAGGCCTTGGCGTAGCCTGTCCACAGGCCTGTGGTAGGCATATCGGTAGGCCTATCGCGGAGCGGCGCCCGTCGCAGAGGCCTGTGCAGAGCCTGCCCACAGGCCTGTGGCAGGCTCATCGGTAGGCTGTGCATAAGCCTATCGCGGGACGCCGGCCATCTCAGAGGCCGGTGCTCTGTGTGTCAACAGCCCTGTGGTAGGCCTATCGGTACGTTGTGCATAGGCCTGTCGTGCGGCGCCGGCCTTCGCGCAGGCCTTTGGCCTGCACGACAGGCCTTTGGTAGGCCTATCGGTAGGCTGTGCATGCGCCGATCGCGCGGCGCCGGCCGTCGCGGAGATCTGCGCACAGCCTGTCCTCAAGCCTGCGGAAGGCCTATCGGCAGGCTGTTCATAGGCCTATCGCGGGGCACCGCCGTCGCGGAGGCCCGTGCACAGGCCTGTGGAAGGCCTATCGGTAGGCTGTGCATAGGCCTATCGCGGAGCGCCCGCCGTCTCAAATGCCTGCGGTAGGCCTATCGAGGGGCTGTGCATGGGCCTGTCCGCAGGCCTGTGGTTGGCCTATCGGCAAGCTGTGCATAGGCCTATCGCGGGGCGCCGGCCGTCTCACAGGCCTGTGGTACGTCTACCGATGTGCTGTGCATAGGCCTATCGCGGGGCGCTGGGCGTAGCAGAGGCCTGTGCACAGCCTGTTCACAGGCCTGTGGCAGGCCCATCGGTAAGCTGTGCATAGGCCTATCGCGGGACGCCGGCCATCTCAGAGGCCGGTGCTCTGTGTGTCAACAGGCCTGTGGTTGGCCTATCGGTAGGTTGTGCATAGGCCTATCGTGCGACGCCGGTCAGGCCTTTGGTAGGCCTAGTGGTAGGCTGTGCATAGGCCTATCGCGCGGCGCTGGCCGTCGCGGAGAACTGGGCACAGCCTGTCTACAAGCCTGTGGTAGACCTATCCGCAGGCTGTGCATAGGCCTATCGCGGGACGCCACGGTCGCGGAGGCCTTTGCATAGCGTGTCCACAGGCCTGTGGTAGGCCTATCGGTAGGCTGTGCATAGGCCTATCACGGAGCGCCGGCCGTCTCACAGGCCTGTGGTAGGCCTATCGGCAGGCTGTGCATAAGCCTATCGCGAGCAGTGGCCGTTGTACAAAGCCTGTCCACAGGCCTGTGGTGGGCCTATCGGTAGGCTGTGCGTGGGCCTATCGCGGGGCGCTGGCCGTTGCAGAGGCCTATGCAGAGCCTGTCCACGGGTCTGTGGTAGGCCTATCGGAAAGCTGCGCAGAGGCCTATCGCGAAGCGAAGGTCGTCACAAAGGCCTATGGTAAGCCTATCGGCAGGCCGTGCGTAGGCCTATCGCGAGGCGCTGGCCGTCGCATAGGCCTGTGCACAGCCTGTCCACAGCGCTGCGGCAGACCAATCGGCAGGCTGTGCGTAGGCCTACGCAGAGACTATGGATAGGCTATGCGCAGGTCTGTGTCCAGACTGCGCACAGGCGCCGAAGAACCCTATCGATAGGCCTATCGATAGGCCTATGGGTAGGGTGTGCATAGACCTGGCCACAGGCCCATCGATAGACCTACGGATGGGCTGTGCATAGGGCTGTCGCAGACCTGTCGACAGCCCATGCACAGGCCTATGGTAGCCTTCTGTCTAGGCTGCCCATAGGCCGTCGTCAGAGGCGTCCACAGACCTGTGCACACCCTATGGCCAGGCCTACGATAGGCCTGTGCATAGGCTACGCGTAGGCCTGTCAAAGGCCTACGCGTAGCGTAAACATAGACCACCAGGGCACCCATCATGGGCTATGCAAAGGCTATCGTCGGGACTGTTGATTGCAAGGGGCGGTGGGCCTCTCCGTGGGGCGCGATCCATGCGAGGGGCGCGAAGGCACCTGGAGCCTGCAAAGAGAGTCCCTGGAGCCTTGGGACTCTCGGGCGGCGGCTGCGGAAGCCTGCCGAAGCGCGCGGCGCTTGAAATGCGCAGCAGCAGAAGCAAGGAGGCGAACTGATCGGAATCGCGAGAACACGCTGCCCTCCGACTGCAGGAACTACAGTCGTCGTCTTACCAGAACGAGCGCGCACTGATATAAAGGGCTTCTCGGTCCAGGGAACGGCCCCCAAATCGAAGCCCCCCCCGAGCCTGAGGTGCCCCTTGTCTTCGGGGGGCGACTGTGCCAGGCCCCCGACTGGCGCGGAGACATCGAAAATCTCGAACGGCCAAGGCTCCCAGCCCCTGAAAACCGAGCGCGACCCTTAGGGCTGAATTGCCACAGACCCAGCGGACTCGCAGCGACGGCGAGGACATCTCATGGGAAACCGTCTCTCTGGGGAACTCGTTGGACACCCCGTCGAGCGAGGACGTCTCGGGCGAAATGGCCACCATGGCAAGCCGGATGCGCCGTTTAATGTCGAGCGCGTTCCCTGGCATCTCGTAGAGCGAGGTTGCCTCCAGCGAAATCAACATCTAGATGGACCTGGCGGCGGGGAACACCATATCATTTTCACTTTGCCCATGCGCGAAACGGGTCTTGAAACTCCGTAGCTCGGTCGAGCGAAGAAGGCCACCCCCCGCCCCCGCCCGCGCCGCGGCCAGCCGCGGCGCGCGCCCTGTCGCGATGCAGCGCTGACTGCGGCGACCGCCGCCCCGAGCCAAACCTCGACCCGACCGGGGGCGGCCAGCGTGCTGAGCGGCGCAGGTCGCGCGGCAGCGGGCGGCGGAGGGGCGCGCGCTTGCCCGGGCCGCGATGGCTCGACTCAGGCGAGGCCGGATTCCAAAGACAAACAAAAAAACAACTGCCAACCCTTGACCACCACTCATTTCCCCCCGCCCAGCCCTCATCATCCGGCCCAGCGCGTCGGCTACACTCAAGGGCAGGTCGGCCCGATCCTCGGCCGCAGCGGCCCCTGTGGCCGCGGCGGCGCCGTCGGGGCCGCTGGGCCCCCATGGGGGCCTCGCCGCCGCGGGCGCCATCATCAGCATCGCCAGTTGCCTCGGGGTCCTGCGCGGGACCTGGAGGCCCCGCGCGGGCCTCGTCGGCCGCGGGCTCCTCGCCGCCGCCGGCGTCCTCCAGCGGGGCTGGGGCGAGGGCTGCCGAGGGGTGGGCGGCCTCGGCCAGGGCGGCCGCGAGCGGCGGCCGCGTCGCCCCCGACGCAAAGTTCTCCGCGCTGAAGTGGAAGCTCGGGAAAGCTTTCGGGCGGGGCACCTTGATCGAGATCTCAGAAACGCCAAAGGGCCCGAGCAGCGCGTCGAGCTCCTTCCTGACGGCCCCGCTCACGTCGACCCCATCACCGAACGCCGGCGTCGACTGCGCCCCCGAGAGAACCTCGCGAGCTCCGCGCAAGGGAGGCACGACATCCTTCGGGCCGGCTGCCCTCGCGCCGACTTGCGGCCAGAGTAGGGCCTGGCAGCAGCCCTGAGAAGACGATGCAGCACGCGTAAAACTACGAAAAACCAACGCACATGACAAGATGATTGAACATCCGCGCCGTCTAAGGAAATCGCTCAGCGAGGGCAGACAGAATGCCGGCGTTCCCCCCCCCCCCCCCACCCACCACCCACGCTCCACCTCCTCCTCCTTCTCCGCCTCCTCGGGGAGGGTATGGGGCAGCGGCGTTGATGTGTCCTGGGGTATCTCTCGCCCTCCTCCTCATGCCCCTCCTTCTCCCTCCTCGTAATCCTGCCTGTCCCATCCTATCCTCGAGCGTTCGGGGGTTGCTCGGGTCGATTGCTTCGCGCCCGATCCTGAGCCAGCAAATCTAACGCTGTCGGGGTTGGCCTCGAAACCATGAACAACATCTGATGCTTAGAGCCCCTCTGCTTCAACAAGACCCCCGCTGGCCAGAGGTCGCCGTCGGCGATCTCCGAGGAGCAGGTCGGCTCCACGGACGCCGACTAGGCGTGCCCGACAGGGTTGGGGAACGCCAGGTGGACGTAGTTGGGGTGCACCTTCATGCTCTTGATATTTGCCACCAGCGCCGCGCGCGGTGGAGTTGCCCTGCTGCCCGATCGATCTCAAGAGAACGAGCACTCGTTCTGGCGACGGCGACCTGGTCGTCTCCATCTGAAAGAACTCAGCGGTCAACTTGCGCTCGTCAGAGGCGCCCGCGCTCTTCATGCCCCTGGCCTTCTTGCCCAGCATCGCCCCGAGGTCAGCAATGGCGAGGGGGCCGGCTTGCATCCTGGGCGCGCCAGCGCCCTTGGGCGCAAGCCCCTTCTCGAATTCAGAAGTCGAGAAACTAATGATCGCGCCAGCCCAATGCAGGGTCCAGGCGCCCATCTCGGACCCATCGCAAGCCAAGAACTTCGAATCTGATTGCGCCGAGGCTTCGGGCGCAGACGAGTGCTTCTTGACATAGTCCAGCAATGCGTCCAAACTTGCTGCGACAGCGGCGTCGTGGCCAGGCCCGCCCCTGTCGCCCGTCCCGAAGACGTCCGAAGCCTCGCTCAGGACGCATGCTATCTGCGCGGCCTTGTGGTACATGAACCGCTTCACCATGCCAGGCGTGGCCCGCGCCGTCTTTGGCGTTGCCGGCGGCGCAATGCTGGCCGACTCGGGGGGCGACCAGAACTTCGAGCCCGCATCAGCGATGGCGCAAGCAAAGAACATCGTGTCCGACGGGTAGCCGAAATCCAAGTTCGACAGCACGGACTTGACTACGAGTGGCAAGGCCTCATCGACGCCGTTGCAGCCATTCGCCTATTGCGTAGCCGAGCCCCCCTGCAAATGCCAGACAGGTCGGCGCACCCTTCTCTGCGGCATTCGCCCCGGGGGTCGACTTCGTCTCCGAGGCGCGCACGGTGCAATCGAATGGGTTCCTCTTCGCGAAGTCGACGACGTTCGTCGCGAACTCGGGGCTCTCGCGCAGCATGCGCTGCCGCGGCAATTCGCCGGCTGGCGCTAGCGGAAGCGAATCGTATTCATCGTCGTCGTCGGCAACCGTCTTGCCCCTGCCACCGTGGCTTCCGCCTCCGCCCCCGCCCTTGCTGGCCTTCAGGACACGGCAGACCATGTGGGACTTACGTGGACGTGAACGGAGCTTCTTGAAAACTCTAACGCCTGCGCCTGTTCCATCTTCCAAGTCAACCTCGAGGACGTCGGCGCCTCCCTCGACCGTGACGCAGCGCCCTTCCCCTTCGACCCCCCTCTCTGCTTCATCTGCTTCGTCTCGACGGCGGCGCGGCAGAGATGCGGGAAATGATCTGGCCTTTTCACCAGACCGACCCTGCCGTCGACGCAGAGCTGCACGATGCGGCCCCACGTCGTCTCCAGCTGGATCAGGCTTCGGCAGCGCGCCCCTGGCCGCGCACGCGCGGCAGCAGTCGTCGGCGTAGTCCACGAAGGGCGCCTTGCCCCCATTGCCAGCCGCAGCGGCCTACTTCAGCTCCTTGATCGACTTGAAGTCAATCTCGGTAAGCTCTGACAGGCGCTTCATCTTGCCCATGGCACTCGTCTGCGTGCCATCAGCACTGCAGATGGAGACGTCGGAGTTCGGCACAATGAACTAAGCGTTGACAAGATCGACGGCGCGCGCCCAGCAGTCGAACGCCCCAGCTGCCGCAGCGCGCAATCGTTGAGCATGACAACGGAATCGCGAGAGGTCTCATTGATGTCCAGAAACTTGCAAGAGTGATGGCAGAAAGGCAATCATCGATCCCACAAGTCGCCCTTTGAATCAAAGGAGAAGTCGCATGCTTCGTCGAAAGATAGAACCTTCTTAAAGAAAGGCGTCGGTCGTGGTTTCAGCCATTCCTTGCGCTTCTGGCACTAACCCTTTTGGCTCCCATTGGAGCCTCTCGACGCAATATAATTACCTAACAGCGAAGACTGATAGGTTTCTAATAAAGTCAAAAGAGAACATCATGACGCCCCAAGGGGGTCTGGGCGCGATCCGGGGGAGCGCCGGGCATTTTTACCCAACAGCGAAAGCTGATAGGTTTCTAATGGTGTCAAAAGAAAGCATCTGATGACTCAGAAGGGAGGTCTGGGCGGCATCCGGACAGCGAGGGCCGGGCTCAGGGCCGGGCTCGTTTTAAGCAAACAGTCACACACTTCGTGCTCTTCGACCTCCCAGAACTCCATTCCTGGGCCACATTTTGAATGCCCGGAGCCAACTGTAAGCCAATTCGTGCTCTTCGATTTCCCAGAACTCCATTCCCAGGCCACATTTTGGATGCCCGGAGCCAACTGTAGACCACTTCGTGCTCTTCGACTTCCCAGAACTCCATTCCCGGGCCACATTTTGGATGCCCGGAGCCAACTGTAGGCCACTTCGTGTTCTTTGTGTTCCCAGAAAACCACTCCTGCACCATATTCTGATTGCCCAGAGCCAACTGTGGGCCACTTCGTGATCTTCGCGTTTCCAGAACACCAGTCCTGTGCCATATTTCGAATGCCCGAGCTGAGGCAATCTGAGGCCGAGGCAGGCTGAGGCCGAGGCAAGCTGAGGCTGAGGCTGAGGCACGCCGAGGCAGGCTGAGGCTGAGGCTGAGGCAGGCTGAGGCTGAGGCAGGCTGGGGCTGAGGCTGACGCAAGCTGAGGCCGAGGCAGGCTGAGGCTGAGGCTGAGGCAGGCTGAGGCTGAGGCTGAGGCAGGCTGAGGCTGAGGCGGCTGAGGCTGAGGCTGAGGCCGAGGCAGGCTGAGGCGAGGCCGAGGCAAGCCGAGGCAGGCTGAGGCTGAGGCTGAGGCTGGCTGAGGCTGAGGCTGCAGGCTGAGGCTGAGGCTGAGGCTGAGGCAGGCTGAGGCTGAGGCAGGCTGAGGCTGAGGCCGAGGCAGGTTCAGGCCGAGACAGGCTGAGGCTGAGACTGAGGCTGAGGCTGAGGATGAGGCCGAGGCAGGCCGAAGCTGAGACAAGGTGAAGCTGAATGGGGGGGGGAAGGGGAGGGGGAGGGGAGGCTGAGGCAGGCTGAGGCCGAGGCAGGCTGAGGCCGAGGCAGGCTGAGGCTGAGGCGGAGGCACGCCGAGGCAGGCTGAGGCTGAGGCTGAGCTGAGGCTGAGGCTGAGGCTGAGGCTGAGGCTGAGGCTGAGGCTGAGGCAGGCTGAGGCTGAGGCAGGCTGAGGCTGAGGCTGAGGCTCATGCAGGCTGAGGCTGAGGCAGGCGGAGGCTGAGGCCGAGGCTGAAGGCAGACTGCTGCTGAGGCTGAGGCAAGCCGAAGCAGGCTGAGGCTGAAGCTGAAACTGAGGCAGGCGGAGGCATCCGTAGGAATCCGTAGGAATACATCGGAATCCTTAGGAATCCTCAGGAATCCGCCGGCATCCTTGAGAATCCGTAGGCATAGTTAAACATCCTCAGGAATCCTTTGGAATCCTTAGGATTATATTGGATCCTAAGGCCGTTGCCGCTGCGACTGTCATTGCGAATGCGACTGCGACTGCGAGAACAGCAGAATTCTACAACTGGATTCTCACCTGAATCTTAAGGGGGATGCTTCCAAATATGTTTATACACATCGCTGTTAGGTTGCTTTGCTGGAATAATGTTTAGCCAACAGTTACACACTTCGTGGTCTTCGAGGTCCCAGAACTCCACTCCCGGGCACCATTGTGAATGCCCGGGGCCAACTGTAAGCCACTTCGTGGTCTTCGAGTTCCCAGAACTCCATTCCCGGGCCACATTTACAATGCCCGGAGCCAACTGTGGGCCACTTACTGGTCTTCTAGTTCCAAGAACTCCATTCCCGGGCCACATTTTGAATGCCCGGAACCAACTGTACACCACTTCGTGGGCTTCGAGTTCCCAGAACTCCATTCCTGGGCATGATGTTGAATGCCCGGAGCCAACTGTAGGCCACTTCGTGTTCTTCGAGTTCCCAGAACTCCACTCCCGGGCCACATTTTGAATGCCCGGAGCCAACTGTAGGCCACTTCGTGGGCTTCGAGTTCCCAGAACTCCATTCCTGGGTATGATGTTGAATGCCCGGAGCCAACTGTAGGCCACTTCGTGTTCTTCGAGTTCCCAGAACTCCATTTCCGGGCCACATTTTGAATGCTGAGGCAGGCTGAGGCTGAGGCTGAGGCGAGCTGAAGCTGAAGCAGGCCGAGGCTGAGGCTGAGGCCGAGGCTGAAGGCAGACTGAGGCTGAGGCTGAAGCAGGCTGAGGCTGAAGCTGAGGCAGGCTGAGGCTGAGGCAGGCTGAGGCTGAGGCTGAGGCTGATGCATGGTGAGGCTGAGGCACGCTGAGGATGAGGCCGAGGCTGAAGGCAGACTGAGGCTGAGGCTGAAGCAGGCTGAGGCTGAGGCTGAGGCTGAGGCAGGCTGAGGCTGAGGCTGAGGCAGGCTGATGCTGAGGCAGGCTGAGGCTGAGGCTGAGGCTGATGCAGGCTGAGGCTGAGGCAGGCTGAGGCTGAGGCCGAGGCTGAAGGCAGACTGAGGCTGAGGCTGAAGCAGGCTGAGGCTGAGGCTGAGGCAGGCTGAGGCTGAGGCTGAGGCAGGCTGATGCTGAGGCAGGCTGAGGCTGAGGCTGAGGCTGATGCAGGCTGAGGCTGAGGCAGGCTGAGGCTGAGGCTGAGGCTGAAGGCAGACTGAGGCTGAGGCTGAAGCAGGCTGAGGCTGAGGCTGAGGCAGGCTGAGGCTGAGGCTGAGGCAGGCTGATGCTGAGGCAGGCTGAGGCTGAGGCTGAGGCTGATGCAGGCTGAGGCTGAGGCAGGCTGAGGCTGAGGCCGAGGCTGAAGGCAGACTGAGGCTGAGGCTGAAGCAGGCTGAGGCTGAGGCTGAGGCTGCAGGCTGAGGCTGAGGCTGAGGCAGGCTGAGGCTGAGGCAGGCTGAGGCTGAGGCTGAGGCTGATGCAGGCTGAGGCTGAGGCAGCTGAGGCTGAGCCGAGGCTGAAGGCAGCTGAGGCTGAGGCTGCAGGCTGAGGCTGAGGCTGAGGCAGGCTGAGGCTGAGGCTGAGGCTGAGGCTGATGCAGGCTGAAGGCTGCGGCAGGCTGAGGCTGAGGCCGAGGCTGAAGGCAGACTGAGGCTGAGGCTGAAGCAGGCTGAGGCTGAGGCTGAGGCTGAGGCTGAGGCTGAGGCAGGCTGAGGCTGAGGCTGAGGCAGGCTGAGGCTGAGGCTGAGGCTGAGGCTGAGGCCGAGGCTGAGGCAGACTGAGATGCTGAAGGCTAAGGCTGAGGGCAGGCTGAGGCAGGCTGAGCTGAGGCTGAGGCTGAGGCTGAGGCTGCAGGCTGAGGCAGGCTGAGGCTGAGGCCGAGGCTGAAGGCAGACTGAGGCTGAGGCTGCTGAGGCTGAGGCTGAGGCTGAGGCAGGCTGAGGCTGAGGCTGAGGCAGGCTGATGAGGCTGAGGCTGAGGCATGCAGGCTGAGGCTGAGGCAGGCTGAGGCTGAGGCCGAGGCTGAAGGCAGACTGAGGCTGAGGCTGAAGCAGGCTGAGGCTGAGGCTGAGGCAGGCTGAGGCTGAGGCAGGCTGAGGCTGAGGCTGTGACTGCGACTGCCGTTGCCGCTGCGACTGCCATCGCGAATGCAACTACGACTGCGAGAACAGCAGAATTCTACAACAGGATTCTCATCTGAATCTTAAGGGGAATGCTTCCAGATATGCTCCTACACATCGCTGTTAGGTTGCTTCGCCGGGATCATATATCTTGCGGTAACTCCCCCAGCTGCTCCTGTCTTCGATGATCGTCTGGTATTTCTGGATGTGGCTGACTCCCGAACCCTTCGTCACCAGCTGGCTTCCCAGGTCAACAAGGCACTCAATCACAATGTTCGGCGTGTCGTGCCTGAAGATCGCGACGTTGCTCGCGTGGCCCTCGATGGCGCGCTCGGCGAAATCCTCGCCGGGCCTCTCCTCGCGGGCCCCGTGCGCGCCTCTGTGAGGGATGCTCCACTGACGACCCGCAACTTCTGCGAGAACAGCGCAAGCAGATTTGACGCGATCATCCACGTGTCGCCGCGAACCCCGCGCAGGACGCCGCCCTGGAGCATGCCCTGCTTGTAGTTATTAAGAGCGTCTGCCTCGCATCTGTCGTTCAACTCGCGGCGCTCGAAAAGCTCGTGGCCAGGAAAACGATGGTTGAAGTAGGCTCGAGTCACCAGGCCGTCCGCGTTGTTCACCCGATCCTCTTAGATTTCACCATGTAGCGCACGCCCGGTAAGCCCTGGGCACATGGTCCTGGTGCCAGGGTGCGTCTCCGCATCAGCGGATACGACCGCGGCGTCAAGTGGCGGCGGGAAAAATCAGCGCGGCTCGCCGTGCCAACAGGCGCCAGACGAATAAACTCGAGCCAAAACAGCTACGATATTTACTTGATGCGAGGTTGTCTCGTTGGTTTCGGCATCGCAATATCGGCCTCCAGAGCCGTGGCCAGAGCATCGAAGATCTCAAAAGGCCGACTCAAAGGCGGCCTCGCGAGGGCCCCCCAAACCCACGCGATATCCCAACCGCTTCGCCGGCGGAGCGTTTGGCATGTCACGAGGGTGTTCGACATGGCTCGGCGGCGCCTTATTGCTACATCTTGTTTTTGCCCGCCAGACTGCCTGACTGCATGCCCGCTGCTCGCGTGTTCCAAGCACGCGGTAAGTGGAATGCGCGAACAGTCGGCATGCTGTCAGGCAGTCTGGCCAGCGACAAAAAAACATCACACGGCGGCAACTTGGGGGCTCCAGGAGGGTTCCGGCACGGCCCTGGGAGAGCTCCATGAGGGCCAGGGAGCACCTTGGTGGCGTTTCAGAAACCTCCAAGCCGACCCCATAAGGGCCCCACATCCCAAGAATACTTATCCCCTGCGGAGATCACTCCGAACACAACAAACACAATTACCATTCATATCTATCTACCGTGGCAAGCACGCCAAACACTGCATTGCAAATACCACGTACATGTACCCCCTGTGGCGAGCACTCCAAACATAACAAGTGCTGTGCAGAGCTATCCAACCGTGGCGAGCTCTCCAAACACATGTTCGAGGCATGCCGAAAGACTTATCCCATGTGGCGAGCGCTCCAAACACTGGATAGAAAATGCCATGCACATCTATCCCCCGTGGCGAGCTCTCCAAACACATGATAGAAGCATACATAACATTACTATACCATGTGGCGAGCACCCCAAACACTGCATAACACATATCACGCGCATCGATCCCCTGTGGCGAGCTCTTCACTAGATAATGAGTACAATGCATATATATATATATATATATATGTATCTATATATATATATATATATATCACCTGTGGCGAGCTCTCCAAACACTGCATAGTGCATGCCACGCATATCTACCCCCTGTGGCGAGCTCTCCAAACACCACATAGCAAAGACCCCCTATTTATATTCCCTACGGCAAGCACTCTAAACACTGGATAGAAAACACCGTGCACATCTACCTCTCCAAACACTGCGTACAAAACCCCATATATCTCTCCCCTATGTGGCGAGCTCTCCAACCGCTGGATAGAAATACCATGCGTATCTATCCCCCTGCGGCGAGCACTCTACATGCTGGATAGAAAGTACCAAGAACATGTATCCCCTGTGGCGAGCTCTCCAAACACTGCATAGCCCCCCCCCTATACGTATCCCCTGTGGCGAGCACTCCAAACACTGGATAGAAAGTACAATTCATCTCTATCCTCTGTGGCGAGCTCTCCAAACACAGCATAGCCATACACAGCTAGTGCCACGCATACGTAGGCACAAGGACGTAGCGACGGGGGGGCGTCTTGTGCAGAGAAGGACTTCGCTGCCAGACGCACACCGTCCAGGTCCTCTTAGATGACATCGCGAGATGTCGGCAGATCTCTTGTGAGCTCCCCTTGGGCACTCCTGAAGCCCTATCGCGCGCCCACTAGTGGCTCGTGAGTTCGTGCCGCGCCCTCTTGGGGGCCAAGTGCTTGCGTCCCGGCGTGCATTTCCAAGCCCCCATCAGGGCCTCTTGCGGGCCCTATTGGGCCCCCCAGAGCCCTCGGGGGGTGCTCTGAGGGAAATCGCGGTGGACGAGCCACCCGTCTTGGATGGGCTTCACGACGCCCCCCCCCCCCCCCCCACCCACCCACGTTCTCCCTCCCGCGCCTCGCCTCAGGCAATTTTGCCCTCGGCACCGCGCTCTCGCCATTCATGTTGCATCGGGCCAATCCTGCCAGTCGTCACTCCACGCGCATCGTTGCGCGACACCTGCATACCTGGCCCACTGGGGGCCTGGCCAGATGATCTGGCACATCAAGTTTCAATCGCAGCGCAGCGCATGCGCGAGCAGACCACGCGCTGCGCAGGCATAATCGCCCGCCCTGGCCCTCTCACGGCACACGTTGCACACGGCTGCTCCGAAACAAGATGTCACTATCCACAAGCCCCCGAGCGTTCCTGATGAATCGGAATGCTGACACCACCTGTTCTGGCATTCTCCCCCGCATATCTCGGCTCGGCCATCCTGCGCGACGCGTGGAACACAGGGTGGCATCGATCCTCTGGCGGCAATCGGCGTTCGCCGGGCCTAGTCGGGCGGTGCTCGTCGACGACGCGCGCGTCAGAGTCGACCCGAACCCTCTGGGAAGCCCTGATAATGCAGCCCCTGGGTGTCCTCATCTGCCTCCCCCTCATCATCATCATCATCCTCCTCATCCTCCATATCCCCCTCCCCCCCCCCCCCCCCCCCCCCCATCTTCATCCTCGTTGGGGCCGCAGCGGCCCCCCCTCAGCGCCGCCCGCCCCCCCCCCCCCCCCCCCCATCACCATTCGCCCCCAAACCCTAGGCCCATCGGGCCCATCGGGAAACACATGGCCTGCACTTCCCCGCGCAGAACATGCGCGAATATGCGAATGATGGAGAGGGTGAAGAGTGATGGCGGATCCCGGATTTCAGCCCAGAGCCCCAGCGCCCCCCGCGGAAATCTACGCCCTCCCAATAGCACTAGCCCAGCGAGGTCGCGTCAGCCCCTGCGACCACGCTTGCGTTGCATAAGAGGGACGCGCACTTGTTCGCGGGTTCTGGAATGATATTCGCACCAGACATCAGAGACCCCAGAAGGTTCTTGAGCCCGTCACAGCTCTCCCTGGCGAAAGCCCTCGCTCGCGCGACACGGAGCCGCGCGTCTCGGCCGCCGTCGCCACCGTCTTCGCAGTCGGCCGCCACGCGAGGCCGAGGCTGGCAATGTCGCCCGCGGGCGTCGTCGCCCTCGGCTTCGCCCCCCCCATCTCCACGCGCACCTTCGCCGCCCCGACGACTTCGTCGATGCTGGCGCCGCGGCCGCCGCATTCAGCCTCCAAGCCCTGACTCTCGCTGGGGCCCATGGCGACAAGGTGCTTCGTGATCTCGGCGTTCTCGGTATCCCCCTCGGCGTCCTCGCCGTCGCCCTCCTGGTCGCAGTCGCCGCCCTCGTCGGCCTCGTCGCCCCCTGCGCGCCGGGCCTTGGCCATGCTGGCCGCCTCCGCCTCCGCATCTGCCCTCTTCAATCGCCCCCGTTGCTCGGCGCGCTGCAGCGGGGCATAAACCGCGACTGGCGCCTGGAACGCGCTCTCCCACTTGAGCTTCGCCGTTTGGAAGCTCAGGGGGATCCCGATTCCGCGGGAACCCGCCTGCTGGATCAGATGGCCAACTACCAAGTGGATCTTGCGATGTGCAATCGGCCTCTGCAACCTGACGACGCCCAGCCCGCTCGGGCTGACTGCATCAAGGTTCTGGCACAGCGGCGCCGCCCACAACATCGATCTGCCAACTTTGCTTCCGATGAGAAACCACTCTTTGACGTCGTCGCCCCCCTCGCCATACTTGCGATTCACAGTCAATGCGTGGATGGAAGACGCGCCAGAACGTTCTCCGACAATGGGCTCGAATGACTTCCGCGCCCTCAACAATATCGCCGCGCATTTGTCGAGAACGACCTGGGGGGGCACGCCCCGGGCGCGCGGTCCGTCACCTCGCCGCTGAACAGCCGGAGATCGCGGCCGTTGTCGTCGTCTCCGCCGTCGCCCCAATCGCCCTCCCCGTCGGCGGCGACATCAGCAGCCCCGCTTTGCGGATCCACCTCGCGCCCTCCGTTGCCGGCGCCCTCGGGCCCCGCGCCCGCGATAGCGAAGGCGCCGTCGCCAGAGTAAGAATGGCGGCCCGCGTCCACCCGGCCGCCCCCGACGGCGAGGGCCTCCTCGACTGCCTGAGAGCGGGGCGTTGCCAGCTCCTGCAGCGCGGCGCAGTAGCTGTCTGCGTCAGCGGCGCCCTTGGGGGCGCCCCGCAAGGACGCGCAGAACGCCTCGGCGGCGGCGCGGCCCCCCGCAATGTCCACGATCAGCTGGCCCCGCGTCTCCTCCGCGTCTCGACGAGCGGGCCCGGCGGATTGGCCGCCGCCAATGATGCCCAATTTCTTATTATTCAGCGCGAGCCTGCTCGACGCGAGTTCCAGCTCGACGCCGGGCGCCGCGCTGCCCACCCACATTAAAATCGAGCTGCGCCCCTCGACGCCGCGGACCGACATCCCCAGGACAGACGCGGCGTCGGGGAGCAACGTCCAGCTGCGGATGCACAGAGCCCCGCCAGTGGCGGCCTGACCCACCTCCGCCACGAACGCCGCTCTGAACCCCGAGGTCGCGTCGTCGACGATCCCAGCGTCCGCGAGCAGCTCGCGGGCGAGGCGCCCCCCCCCCCCCCATGGCGCCGGGCGCCGGGAGGCGAGACAATCGGGCAAAACATTCGGGAAAGGGCACTGCTGATAGCACGGCTGCGCGACGCGCCAATGGAACTCGGCGCGCCACTCCGGCGCCGAAGAGACCGCCTCGGCAAAGAGCTCCCCCGGCGAGTCGGCGCCGCCATCATTGAGCTTCGGGGCGCGAAGGACCTCCTCCAGCGGGCCACGCCTCTCAAGGGTGGCAAGGGGCAGCTGCGCGACGGGGCGGCGCCGACATGCGGGGCGAGTCGATCGGGATCGGCCCCTCGCGCCCCCCCCCCCCCCCCCTTTTCGGAGAGGGGGGGGGGGGGGGCGCGAGGGGGGAACGAAGGGGGGGCGGGCGCGGAGCCCTTCCCACTCCCCCTTCGCCCTCCACCTTCTCATCCCTCCCCTCCGCGCCCTCCTCTCCCTCGCCCTGGTCCGATCGGCTCGCCCCGCGCGCGGCGTCTGCCCGCCCTGTCGGCCGCCGCGCGCCGCCCGCGCCTCGACGAGGGGCTCCTCGTCGAGCAAGTGCGCGATGCCCTCGTGGATCTGCCCGCCCTTGAACTCGACGAGGTCGACGAGCATTCCCGACTGCGGGCCGCCTGCCCACATCTTGCGGCGCCATCTGGAGATGCGCTCGGCGCCCCATCTGGACGCGCGCGAGACGACGCGCGATGACCATGACCTCTCCGACTGCATGCCAGCGACAGTCGCCTTCTGGAAATTTCCCACGCGCCCCTGGAAATGCTTCGCGCCCCCCCCCGAACGTCGACGCCAATTCAATCGGATCTGCGCTCGCCGTCTGCATCTCCCCCGCGCCGAGCAGCTTGCGGATCCGACGCGCGAGTGTCGAGCTCGACCGGCACTTTCCGCACTGCCACTGGCACTTCGCGCCACGGCTGAGCCTCGTGAAACCAGCCCTCGCAAGCGCATGCCGACGACCATCTCCCACTCGACGGGCGCGGCGGCAGGCGCCGAACGAATTTCTCCACGCCGCTATCTGGCCCGACGCCCCCCCGAACGAGCCGGGAGCGGAGGCCGCCCCCAGTTGAACCAATCGCGTTTGTAATAGTAGCCAGTAAACTCCAGTGAACGTCGCATCGCTGCAAGTTGGCCCCAGCGATCAGGGCGTCGATGCGGCCCAGGCAGCAGATGCGACGCCATCCGCAATGAGAATGGGCGTGCATTTCCCGTCGCCGCCCTGGTCGCACGAAAAAATATACCACATTTGGCGCGAGCGCTCGCTGAAGTCTGACACCCACGCTGGCGCGCCAACTGCCTGGATGTGTTTTGTTGTGCAATGTCTTGACTGCGTGGCCAGCGCAGTGCACGGAAGGCTCGTTGATGCATGGGGTGGTAGCACTTTGATCTGACACGTTTCCGACAACATCCCTGAAGCACGTACCGACTGCACAGACGTGTACTTTTTATACTCTGTACTTTGCATGCCAACCGTAGCATGTGCAGCGTCACCTCTGATATCAAATATACCGGCCCCCCTCTGATCCGCGCGTGAGCTGCAAGCACCGCTGAAAGAAACGTCGTGGTTGAAGCCATACGTTTGCTGCTCTACGAACTCTCATATTTCCACAGACTGCCGAGATATGTATAAGTCATTCGCGCGCGCGAGGCCCAGCGTGCCAATGTGGGAAGAATTACGAGACAGCAAGATTGCGTAGCCCACCTCTGCTGGAATCTTGAACGTATTCGAGGCACCCTTCTCCTGAATGCTAACTGTTGCGTTCCGAGCTGAACTGACGACTAGCTCCTCCCTGGGCAACATATTTTCTAATGTTTCCCACTTCCCGTTTCAAAGCTGCAGACTGTCATATTTTCCGTTGGGCCCTGCTGACATTTGCCTACGACACCGCCAGCGTGTCTTTGCGTTGTGCCTTTGTGTTACGGCGAGCGGAAGGCATGCGCCGTGGGTGGTATCACTGCATTCGCAGAAGTTCAGCCGAGTTACTTCAATGAGGTCCATTACATGTGGAAAACGACAAACTGCCAGCCCTGCCAAAATGATTCACTCCATGCCAAAGAGCAGCCGCATCCAACGCGCGCGGAAGAGGACACTGCTTCCTGAGTCGATGCAATGTCTGAACCGTTGGTCACTCAAAGTGTGCAACAGGGAAAGAAAAAATGGCATGTGTCGCTGAACGTAAGGGAACACTAAGCTATCATATGCAACGCGATTGCATGCTCCGTGCCCGACATACGGTGTCATCGCTGGAAGACTGTGCGCCAAAACGGCCATGAAAGCAGGGGGCGGGGGCTGAAGGCCAGCGCGCTCAAAACCACCAGGAAGAACGCAAGGTGCCAACTACTGCCGAAGGATGCAACGGCGCCTTGCTCCAGGGGGTGAATCGGTAAACCGATGGGCTGGCGGTATGAATGCTACTCTGGCAACAGATACTGTACGTTGGTACGACAAGTGTTTACTGCGATATAGCTAGATGCCCCACGCTCCCTGAGGCCATGTAATGCCGGATAACTGACCATGTCGCGCACGGCTAAGAGTCTATGCCGGAGAAACATGCACCTAACACAACGCTTTGTGCTATGTCGGATCAAAACCATCTCGCGCAACGCTCATTTTCTACGTCGGCTAAAGAACCATGTAGCGAAACGCTTAGATCCTACGTCGGGGAAAACTTTAGCTGGACAAGGCGACCAGGATCATAAAGTGTTGAGCCTGTTCTGGGATCTCCCTGACCTCCAGTCACATGTGCGCGCGAGTCCGCACCAGGGGCACGCGCCGCCTGCAGACGGAAGACTTCGCCCGTCATGACATCCAAGAGGTACTCAAGGAACAGCAGATGGACCATCGGCGGCGCAGCTGGCGCTCGGAGCGGCAAGTACTTGGGGCGCGCCGCGAACGCAATATTAGACAGCAGCCCATCAGGAAAATATCCTGAAGGACTCACGTCTGGGATCCACTCCCCTGGCGGAGTCCAGTTCGCCCTATCGGTCACGCCCACGCCCCGCAAGCCAATCTCTGACATGGCTGTCTGATGCTGCCGCTGCATGAACCATTGTTGCTCCAGTGCCGACTGCACGTGCCCGCGCTGATGCTGCATTGATGCCGCAATAGGAGAGCTCGTAGGACTGCCAGTGACCTGGCTACGGCGCGGCGCGCCAAAGGGCGTCGAGGTTCTTGCGGCCGCCGCCGGGCCTGGCTGCTGCCGTAGTAGAGTCGCGCGCTGCATCGAGCCATCGTTGCTCGTCGCTGGCGCCTGCTGGCCGTTGGGCGCGCCCGCCCTGGATGCAAGGCTTGCTTCGGGCGTGGCTTGGCCGAATGGCACGGGCCCAATTATTGCGGAGCCGGCGCGCGATTGCGGCCGGGGCGGTCCGAAACTTGTCGGCGGCCCTGCCGGCGCGCCTCCTAGGGCCGTCGCCCAGGGGTCGTGCCTTGCGAAAACTCCAGACAGGGTGATACGTCAGTGAGTGGGTGGAGGTATCCCGCGTCTGTCGGCAGGACTGCCGGTTGCCCGGCATGCTCGGGAGTTGCGATGCCAGCAAATGCCCCCGCGTCCATCATCGCGCACGCGCGCGCCTCTTCGCCGAGAGGCCCGTTGAACGAGTTGGTGCTAGAGGCAGACCCTCTGGCGGGCCTGAATCAATTATTTTGCAGGTCTGCCGTGCTCAATTGGATTTCAGACTGGCCACGCGCGCGAAAGCACTGGAGTTCAGCCATGCATCGCTGTCGTGGAGCTCGGACTTAGCCACCAGTTGGACGAAGCACTTGGTCGGGATGGTTCTGCCGAAGCCCTCGGTCAACAGAGCGTTTCTGGCAGACCGCCAGACAATGGCCCTATCGCGCAACAAGAGCGGGATATAAATAGATATGAGGACCTCGCTGTCAGCGCGCACGGCGGAACCAAATTCTCGGGCCCCCTGGCAAGTCCGGACGTCCGCGCACAAACTGCACGTCGTTGATACCCCAAAGCTTTTGCCCCTGCCGACAGATGATTCTCTCCCGGAACCCCGCTTGGCGCCGCGAATGAAAAACTCAGGACCGCCCTCAGCGTCGACAGCGATCACGGAACGATGGAGGGACTCGGGGCATAACAAGTGGCACGCGCGCCATGACTCTTGCACAAAAAAAGAAGGGGGAGGAGGAGGAGGAGGAGGAGGAGGAGGAAGAGGAGGAGGAGGAGGGTGGAGGAGGAGGGGGAAGAGGGGGCAAGGCATCGCCCTCTGGGTCCAACAACGGGGCCCAAGTCCCAGGTGGGGAAGAGGGGGGGGGGGGGGGGGCGCGCGTCGCGACGCGGAATAAAACGCTCGGAGCGGAGGGAGCACGGGGCGGAAGTCCCACTGGGGCGCTGGGGGCGCGGAGAGGGGGGGGGGGGGGTGGGAGGGCGGGGGGGGTGGAGGGGGGGGGGGGGGGGAGCGCGACGCTGCATGCATTGTCGGGGCGGAAGGGGCACTGGGCGGGGCTTGGGGCAGAGGGCCACGGGGCGGGGGTCCAACTGGGGCGCCAGGGAAAGGGTGGGGGGGGCGGAGGTGGCGCGCGTCGCGACGCAGATAAAATTGTCTGGGTGGGCACGGGGCGGAGCCCCCGCTGGGGCGCCGGGCGGTGTGCGGCGCGACGCAGAATGAAGCGTTAGTGGCGGAAGGTGCAGTGGGCGGGCCCCCCGCTGGGGCGCTGGGGGCGCGGGGGTGCTCGGGGCAGAGAGCCGCGGCGCGGGGGCCCCACTCCGGCGCTGGGGGCGCGGAGGGGCGGGGGGGGTGCGACGCGTAGTGAAGCGTTCGTGTCGGAAGGGGCAGCGGGCGGGGCCCCCGCTGGGGCGCTGGGGGCGCGGGGGGGCCCGGGGCAGAGAGCCGCGGCGCGGGGGCCCCACTCTGGCGCTGGGGGCGCGGAGGGGCGGGGGGGGTGCGACGCGTAATGAAGCGTTCGTGTCGGAGGGGGCAGCGGGCGGGGGGCCCGCCGGAGCGCTGGGGGCGCGGGGGGGCTCGGGGCAGAGAGCCGCGGCGCAGGGGGCCCACGCTGGCGCTGGGGGCGCGGGGAAGGGGGGATGGGGGGTGGGTGGGGGGGGCGACGCGGGATAAAGCGTTCGTGGCGGAGGGGGCAGTGGGCAGGGCCCCAGCCGCCATCTCCTAAACGGCTGGTCGTAGAGTAAAACACGCGCGAATTGCCCCGTCCAGTGACGCAGGCACTAGCCTCCATGACGTTGTCTACGGAGATACGCAAATTGCACGTGAAGACCTCGCATACGCCCACTTCGGGGTGCACGCAGTCGAAGATCATGGTCAGCATTAAGATGCTTAGGCGATGTTGTAAACCTCATTAAATGAAATCTGCCGAATTGCAATGCTGACAAATTTTATCACTTTATTGATGTTTAGCCCTATTTGCTTTTGAAATTTACCAAAATTTTACCATCCTGGCGCCTATACTCCCATTATAAGAAAAACTTGAAATATTAGTATAAACAATGTTTGGAAGTAATTTTCTGAACGTGCCCCCATTTATATTATTACATATAATGAACAGGTGTGTTAGTCGGGGTGTTGGTTGATATAAAACCCAATGTTTTTGTTTAGAAAATGCATAATGGTGCCCACTTTCTTTATGATGTAGACTT